ACTCATATATTGGTCTCTGAATATCACATTATAAAAAAAAAAAATCCTTTTTGGACCGGCCCTATCTACTGACTACATTATCATGGTATTTTTTTGCCTATAGAATATAAACACTCTAATGATCCCTATAACTAAATTATTCTAATTGTATAATAAATTAAGCATCCAAAATCTTTTGGAGGTCAATCCGATATGGTTCTCAAGTGGGAGATAATTGACTGAAATGTTCGGATTTTTATGGGGTTGACTGTACAACCCAACTAAGTTTATTAAATTAATTATTAATTAGCATTAACAAAAGAAAAAGAAAAAGGAAAAAGAAAAAGGAGGAGCATCAAAATGCAGGGTTCTTATTGCAGAACTTATGCAAGATGAATAGGCAAGTATCAGTACCTTTAAAAGGAAAAATAGCTCAGATCTTGCCAGAAATTATTCCACTTCTAGATGAAAAATATGAAAAGAAAAACAAAAATGGAAAACAAAAAATTAAAAGAAAAAGTGGAAGCAACTGAATATAGATGATGAAGAATTAAATTATCAAAGCTAATAATGATATTTTGATTGGAACTTAGAAAGCTTTCTGGTTTAATATACATTGCGTGGCGTAACTGTCTTGTGTAAACTAAATTATATTTCATTAATTGAGAATATAAATGATCGGCAACTTGAGCTGGTAAAGCACGAAAAAAACAAACTAAGAGTAACTTGAACTAAATTTTCCTGTAAGTTGTTCTCTATATTTCACTATTAATATATATTCCTTTTGCTTTTTCCCCCGCCAATAAATAGTACAACTCCAAATTAATTATCAATTCTATGAAATTGTTTATAATATAATATTCATTTCTTTTGTTGTTGTCTCTTTCTTAATTATAACTAAATTGCATAATAATGCCGCACATAAAAATGACAGTGTGCAGGGTAAAATGTGAGATCAAATACTTTGTAAAAATTAGTCTTTTTTGGTTTCTATACACACACACGCATACAGTTACTTTATATAAAAGGGAGAATGAGGTAAATAGCTATTTACAGTGAATAATTAAAGTAAACAGTAGATTTTAAAATTATTTGAATAAATATCAGTAAATTAAAATTTTACATGGTAAAAAAATTCTTTTTACCATGTAAATCTAATTGCAAAAAGAAAATTTACGTGGTTCAAAAAAATTTTACTGCTTAAATCCATTTGTAATTAAAAAATTATGAGGTAAAAAAGTCTTTTTTTACTGTTATTACTATAAATATTCTAAAATTTGTTATTTACTTAATTTAGTATTAAAATCGTTAAAAACATCTATTAATTTAATGTAATTTTTTAAAGGTGTCTTTAAATATTAATTTATGTCAACTTTCCTCTTCAATTTTAAAAAATCAAACGGCAAGTTGACATAAAATTTTGAGAAAATTCCTTTAAAATCAATAGTACGGGAGAATTGAAAAATTTTAAGTATTTTTGTGTTATTATTTTCGTAGCATTATAGATGGATTTAGTACTATTATGTTATTATTTTCTTAGCATTATAGACGGATTTAGACGAAAAAAGTATCTTGAGCGATTTTAATTCATGAGATGAGATCAATCAATCATCTTTTGAAATTTAAGGTTGAATTAAGATACATAATTTAAGTAGTATTCATGAAATTAATATTTTTATCGTAATTTCACATTAATTCACCTCTAATATTGATGGAGGTCGATATATAAGAATATATATATATATATGTATGTATCGATTCTAGTTATGCATCATGTATAGTGTGTTTGATAGCGTCCTATCTTAACAATTCACTGTGCAGTATGTCCCATCTGAAACCCAACTCCGTCCTTTTTCAATCCAATCATCAAAATCAGGTGTTGAAAAGTGAGAGTTTTAAAACTTTTAATGGAGAATTCGATTCATGAGACTCGTTTAAGTGATCATTTCACGTCATTCCTTAGAGGAAGAGAAAGGAATATGTTCACACAAAGTAAAATGTCAAGTACCAATTCTCGGATAAGGACTGAAATCTACCACTAGTAAATGTTCGGATGTGCTGTAAGGCTTATCTACCACTGGTTCTTACGTGATCATGAAATTCCTCAGTTTATAACCACGTAATATAATGCACTAATCCTGACTTTGAATACTAGTGAATAAACGTTTCATAGTGCGAAAACAAGTCAATTTATATGTTCACTGCCACATATGACAATTTTGTAACTACAAAACCCACATGACATTTTTTTTCATTAATAGAACAAAGACTCTTCCTTTTTGTACATATTTCACTCACTATATGTGTTGCAAAGACATGATTTGAGACAAATGAACAAAAAGTCATGTAATCAAATGCTGATGTCCGGCACAACGGGCACCGGAAGCTAAATGTTATTGAACACATTCAAGATTTTACTTCTCTAGCTCGAAGTGACAATGTTTGCTACGTTTCTTGTTATGGAAATTTTTAACCCACTCTTTAATCGGCATGATTTTAATAATCTCGTTAATTCGGTTTTGGATTAATTGAAACTCGGTTTCACTTTCCCAAAACAAAAAAAACAAAAACAAAAAATTACATGCTATCTTTTATGGCTCCTTTCTACAAGTTGATGTTTTGAGTCGTTAATTGAATCCAGTTTTTTATTATAAAATCAATATTATATACCTTAAATTCGACGGGTATTTGTCTCATTTCTCATTTACTCTTAATAAATACCTTTTGAACTAATATAATTTTTTGACTAAAAAAGATGTTAATAAAAAATAAAATGTAAAAATCTAGATTCATGAACTCTAAGGGATATTTTTTTTTCTTTCTCCAATTGAATTTACCATAAACTCAACCTAAATTTTGAAAACTACACGGACTCTGGTATTAAACTTGAAAAATTACTAATGGCCCGTTTATTTTGTGAATTTAAACTATAATTTAAACCTCTTTTTTTTTTTTTTTTTAAATGTCAACCAAAAAGTAGAAAAAGCTCAAGGAAAGTAGGGCGGGCATATTATCAGGTTTGCTAAAGTTCATTGTCAGATATTGCTGAAAAAGTAGTTAAAATTCAGATTAGCATGCATCAAACAAAAAGTGAAAAATTCGTAATTTATCCAAAAAATAAGACACAAGGTTCATGAACATAATGGATAGATATAATATTAATATTGGATTAAGATCATAGCCAAAAGCGCATATTATTTATACCGAGGGAAGTTGTGCAACACGTTGCCACTGCATCTAATTAATTATATAATTAAGGTGATTTGAGAGACAGAATCGTATAGATGCAAAATTAAAAGAAATTAAAAGTAAATGATCGATAGGTATATAAGGGCCTACCTCTAATGGATTACACAAAAAGCCAAAAACAGCACACCCTATATATATCACACAGTAAACATGCTGATTTAGCTCTTAATCAATCCTAATTGAGGGACCAAATATTCCTGCCCTATATATATAAATAAACGTATTTAATTTCAACCCCAAAGAATGTTCTTAATATTTTAAAATGTATTGGAGGCGTTTTGAGCTAGTGGGATCGATATTGACCCAAATAAATATTCATCCATATTGAAAGTCTGATTCACTTTTTCACTGATCGTAATAAAAAAGTCTAAATATTCCAATAATTAATAAAGTTCTTGAGTGTGGTTTTTTCCTCTCTCCCACAATTTTTTTTCCAACTTCTGATCTGATGAATAATACAGGCGTCATAACCTATTAAAGCACATGTGATGTTGTTTCTTTCTACTTCTCTTATTATTAAATTAACATCCTCCAATTTGTTATATAATTTTCTTTGATATCCAACATCAAACGCATGACGTTATACATGTAGTCATGGTTTAATTACCATGACGCACCTGCCTAAACTGAAGATAATTAATCCTAGTTCTTCATAAAATCCAGGATCATAGATGTTCTGTTTAGAGAAAAATTACATAGCATGCCGCCAAAATCTAAGAGCTTTACGTTTATGCTATTTAATCTCTCGTTATCTTTGTTGTTTTAAAATATATATTCTAATAATCGAAGACTGTAGTCAGAGATGTCTGAATCTGACAAATTATTAAAAACATCCTATTTAAAAAATTCATTATAATATTTTTCTTATGAATTAACGTAAATGTTAAATTTATGTCATGATATAAATGTAAAGATATATAGCATTTTTCTACTACTTCCGTTTGTTTAACAGAAATCTTTAACCGAGATCTTATAGTAATTAATTAAGGTCTCGTTCACTGATTTGAGTTTTCAATTTGAGTTTAGAAGTGACATTTTCTGGGAGCTTTTCACTGTAACAAAAAAAGTTAGATGTGACATTTTCTGAGAATTTTTTACTGTAAAATCCTAAAACTGAAAACTCAAATCGGTGAGATGAACGAGGCCTAAGTATACCGTTAATTTAATGACGGTGTCTGATCAGATCCATATATGTTTGGTTTCAAAGTGCCCTAGATAGACTTTTAAAATTTAAAGGCAAGTTAGAGGTGAAACTTGGCAGTTTATGTTGACTAATAAACCAACAAGGTTGGCTCACTTCTTGATGTCTTATGCCTTTTCTCATTCTTTCTGACGCAAATCAACCAAATTGGCACCGGCACTTATTACCGATTGATCAAAAACTACAACGAATATAAAATGACGAAAATACCCCTTACCCGAATATGGATAAGTTAGACTTGAATTCAGTGTGGTGGGAACTGGAGAATGGAGAGGTAAACAAAAAAAACCACAACTCATATCAAGAAATCAGTAATTTTCTCAGAGACCCCCAGTAACGCCAGGGTTCTGAGAATCTTGAGGACAGTGCCAATATCTCTCTCTCTCTCTCTCTCTCTCTCTCTCTCTCTCTCTCTCTCTCTCCACTCTGGATATGATGAATGTGCTGTGACTTGTGCGTGTCTCTTACTCTCTCTCTCTCAATATTCTCTCTCCTCTCTCTCTCTCTCTCTCTCTCTCCCTCTCTCTCTCTTTCTCTCTCTCTCTCTCTCTCCGCACCTTTAATTGAAGGCACTTTGATCCTTTCCATGTGTTGCTATAAGTTGGACAGTCCCAATACATGTCATGCAAGTGTCGTAGCCAGTTTCGGATACGATCCAAACTACAATTGCATATAATGAGACACACCTTCACCGAACTCTTCACATAATAATCTCATTCATACCTGATCTCTTTCTCTCTCTCTCTAAAACCCTTCTTTTAACTTCCACATCTCTCTTTTTCTTTGTTACGTTCATTTACTTCAGAACCATGGCCATTTCTGCTGATACTGCTCGTACCGTAGTTGGTATCATAGGTTAGTCAAACTCAAAGGCACTTCTTGGTTTCTTGCACTATTCTAGTAGTACTATTGCTTTTCTTTAGTTAGTTTCTTCCAGATTTCTTCTAGATCTTTCTATATATATATATATATAGACTCGAAAACTGACATATATTTTGTGGGCTTTTTCTTATGTTGTTTGTTTTCAGGAAATGTCATATCTCTCTTCTTGTTCTTGTCCCCAGTGTAAGGCTTACATCACTGTTTTCCTTTCTTTATTCTTCTGCTAGGAGTATAATTTTTGGCATGCATTGTTATTTCCTATGTATGATTTTACTTACCATCACGCAAGAAACAAAAAAAGAAAAAAAAAATTATGGGCATGCATATTTTGACAGTTAAGATAAAGGAAAAAAATATTATCCATAAAAACTTCTTGGTTAATTTCCCAAAGAAAACACATGACCAACTTTTTTTATCCAAAAAAAAAAAAAAGAAGTTGGTGGTGGTGGAAAATCATGCACAAACCCACCACCATCAAAGGAGTACACACGTTCGGTTTTCCAGAGCCATTAAAAAAAAAAAAGAAGAAGCGTTTTTAGTAGTTAGAGGGATTTTCCTATTAGAACCAATACTACTAGTAGAAACCATTAATATTCTCCTCACAATTATTGCCATATCCACTTATAATAAAGTTAATTGGTTAACAGTTAAAAAGTGGGATTTTTTAGTCTTTTGACAACAACACCAACAACAATTATTATATTATTTTTTTCACTATTTTCTTCTTTTTTTTTCATATTTTTGATCAGGCCAACATTCGTACGAATATGGAAGAAAAAGTCGGTGGAGCAGTACTCAGCAGTGCCGTACCTTGCAACCCTAGTGAACTGCTTGGTGTGGACGCTGTACGGACTGCCTATGGTCCACCCGGGAAGCATTCTTGTGGTGACAATCAACGGCTCAGGAACGGCCATCGAGTGTGCCTACATCATCCTCTTCTTGATCTTCTGCGACAAGAAGAAGAGGCTCAAAGTAGTCCTTGTGGTTCTTCTCGAGCTCATCTTCATCGGGGTTCTCACTCTTTTGGTCTTGTCTTTGGCCCATACTCACAAAAAGAGGTCCACGGTTGTTGGCACCATTTGTATTCTCTTTAACATCATGATGTATGCTTCTCCCTTGGCCGTCATGGTAGATATCACTCATCCCTTGCATGAAACTTTATTATTTATTTTTTGGGTTTAATTATTATGAATCATTCTTTCGTTTTCTTTGTTTTTTTTTTTTTTTTTTTGTTGGGTTTAAGGAATTTTAGGGTGTATGTGTATATATATATATATATATATATGATAAAATGATAAACATCTATACCTTATCTATACCTTACTAATACTAGTGCATGTTTCTAAATTTTTTTGTTAACTTAATTGTAAATATGTGTGACATAAACTTAAATAGCTTTTTCGAGTGAAGAAGACTCATGAAGAATGAGCTAATTATTAACTTTTGACATTATTATTATTATTATTTTTGTATAGAAATTGGTGATTACGACGAAAAGCGTGGAGTTCATGCCATTCTTCTTGTCATTTGCCTCTCTTGCAAATGGTGTTGCTTGGACAACTTATGCTCTCATCCGTTTTGACCCTTTTATCACTGTAACTACAAATTCTCTCTCAACTCAATTTGTGGCCTTTTTATTCGTTCTCCTTTGCCTTTTGGTTGATTTACAACTTTTCTTTCAAGTCATTGATATTTGTTCTGACTGATCTCCAACTTCCAAGTGTACTTATTTAAAGTGGGCCCTTGTGTTGCCTTTTATGGTCTCAGATACCCAATGGGCTCGGCACACTCTTTGGAGTGGCTCAGCTCATTCTCTACGGCACGTACTACAAATCAACTCAACGCCTCTTGGCAGAGAGGAAATTAAACGCCAAAGAAGTCAACCTATCAGAGGTTGTTGTGGCTGATCAAGAACAACACAAGAAAGCAGCCAACGGCCATGCTTCTCAGAACCATTGAATTACTATACGTCTGAAAGTAGTGGATCCGTATAATAGTACTACTCATTCCCAAGTATAGAAGTTACACTTTAAAATTGTGTCGACTTCTTTTTTTTGGGACTTTTTTTTTTTGTAATTTTTACTCTTTTTTGTGAGTAAGAAGAAGAAGAAGAAGAAGAAGAAGAAGAAGAAGAAGAAGAAGAAGAAAATAGTCTCGGTTTAAGCTCGAGACAGCTAGATAACATAATAGCCGTGGTGTCTAAACCACTGAGCTGTCCAGTACTGTGTTGTAATGGTTTCTCTTTTTAATTTCCTTCTTTTCAGCACAAGCTTGTGACATGACAAATATAAGGTCATGTGTACGTACGTCATACGGCGGTATTATAATTGTTAATAACAAACTACGTACGTGTTCTCTTTTTACCATCTTAATTTGTACTCCTGAAGTTCATGTCTTGAAGTATGTTTTTACGAAAAGGGCATGTTATAATTTGAGTTTTGCAAGGACTAGGTGAAACGCTTGAAACTATTTACAAGTTAATGATGATACGTTTTGTTTCTCAATATACGTAGCTATGGTTAAACATGACATTGCTCTATGGGGTTCTAGGGTTTCTCTAGTCATGTTAAAAAAGAGATAACTATAGTTGATCACCCATATTCTATTTAAAAAATGAAAAAGAAAAAATGTGTACATGATGTCGAATTTAACTATAATATATATATATATATATTCTCTTTTGGGGGATTAATTAGCTTAATTAACTATACTTTTAAAGCTATTTGATGGTCTTGATCGCTATGTATCTTTAAAATAAAAATGGGAATTTTCCAATAGTCAGCCAATGAATTAATGATCTTGACAGAGAGATCTGACGGATTAACAAATTTGCAATTTGCTCAGTTCATAATGGAACACAGCTGATAGAATTATAAACGAAGCTTACAATTACTTGTCGTTCATATATTAGGGGATTGTTAGTCTGATTTTGTATGCTTCTATATGATCCAAGGGAACACCCGAGGCCGAAGAGCAAAGTAGTTGCAAGTAATTAATTGAGCTTGCAACTTTGTTAGTTTCTAATAGTTTATGATTAACTCTTAATCATCAGAGTATTAACCAAAATTTTCTAAACTGCTCTGTTGCGTTGTACATAGTGCTTCTATATCCATTAATGGCTCTTTTTCCTCTGCTGAATTAATTCTTTTAAGAACAAAAATTAGATGCTCAACTTTCTAAATAAATAATCCTAAGAAAAATGTAAAGTATCACCAACATAAAGCATAACTCATTGTGATACTTATTAATCACAAATGAATCAGTTTTCATAATTTTATTTTTAAACTAATTGCACGTATATATCGCGTGAGTCAATTTCATGTAGTAGTAAGTTCATAATATTATGACAAATGCATCATTTGCACGAAAGATATTAGTTCTATGGTGTGTGTTAGGATTTTATAAGTTGGCATATTTTGGAGTTGGTTTGTACAAAATTCAAGAACAGGGGTCAAGTTTATTTTTGGCGTTTGTGGACAGCTATGGAAACTCTGTTTCAAGCTATTTGCACTAGATTTAGAATGATTTTCCACCATAGAAGGAAATCAAAGGAAATCAACTATGGAGCTGATTGGTTTGACTTTTGGTGGCTATTTGATGAGGTTGTTTTGGAAAGAATCCGTTGAGGAGAAGTTGTTTTGTTTAGGGTGATTTTGGTGGGAGAATAGATGGATATGTTCACCAATTTGGGTTGTATATAATTAGTATGCAACTATGAACGTGACTTAGAGCTTTTGAATGAAATATTCTACAGCAAAAGACTGTTTTGATGCTCTTTGAGTGAAAAAAAAAAAACAAAAGGTAGTTCTTTGAGAGAAGAACGTATTATTTTTGAGAGAAAATTTTTAAAGACGAATGGTGCTCATTGAACAAGATCACTTTTCCAATAAGCTACTTATAAAGTAATTACTAAGCGAAGGTGGAGTTGTTCTTCAGATGAAGCAAATGCATATAAAAAACTCTCAGGTTGTACGCAGAATATTGAACAACCGGCAAAAAGACAACCTTGCCCAGACACTACATGGGCTGTACCAATTTTAACTCCATATTGTCCCTCAAGCACTTTGACTCTCATGATTTCTCTCCCATAATCCCCATCTGTGCAACTTATGAGTATGTCTGCTCAGTTCCTGAGTATAGGACAGACTGAAATGATCTTTTTGATCCTCAATACGTGTCGTGTCTTTGTTAATGAATGGGAATTTTTCACATTCTCTTCTCAAAAAGAGAAGGAAAAGAAAAAGAACAAGAAACTATATGATAATTAAGATAGAAAGGTATGGGAAGAAAAAGGCAATCATTGAAGAAATGGAATTGAGCACCCATCAGCAACTGTTTTGGAATATGGAATATGGAATCCAATCTTTTAGGATAGCTTTTATTCTCTCTCTACTTTTGTTTTTTTTTTTTTTTTTTTTTTTTTTTTTTTAATATGATGGCCTTTATTTAATTTTCTTCTTTTTTTTTTTTTTTTTTTTTTTTTTTGCTAAATATGATGGCCTTTATTCAATGTACTGATTTGCAATCCTATACCAGCAGCCTTTTATAGTGCGAATTTCATCCCCTTTTTTTGTTTTATTAATTATTATTTTTCACTTTTGATAGTAAAGATAAGCTTAAGGGAGGGACTTGGTCGAAATGGATTTCAGTACGCAAGCTCTCTTAGGAGATAAAATCACAAATGTTGTAAAAAGGCATGTTTTTTTATGTTGAGCAATACCATGTAATTAGTGTTTAATTTCTTGCGTATTAGGATTTAAACCAACATGTTATTAGTCAAGGATTCAATAAATTTTACATTAAGATCTTTTACTAGTTGAAAAGCTAATAGTAATCTTTACTAACGATTTATATTGAACTCTTTTACTCTTGGATAACCTATAAAAGCTAGCAAATAGAGAAAAAAAAAACAAAAAAACAAAAACAAAAACAAAAACAAAAGGCCGCATATTGGTCTTAGGTTCTCAGTGGCTGGGCTGCACACAATGTTTGACTTCGCAAAGCTGCCACTTAGACCTTAAAACAGAGTTCTTGTATTTATTTATGTACTATCTATGTTATATATATATATATGTACTATATATATATGTATATATATATTTATGTATGTATATATATCATTATTGTTCTCTGGTCTTGTGCATGTTCTTGACATTTTTTAGGACCTTCATACCATGTGTTACCCTCATTGGATAGTACTGAGGAAGTTGTCGGCAGGTCTCAGAAAAATGGTTTGTTAATTGTAGTGATTCATCACAGCCTCACAGGGACCACAAAACTAAATTTTCTTTGGCTAATTATAATATCATACACAATTTCTCATTCTGGAGGTTAGAAATGATTACCCTTTTTTTCTTTTTGCTGAATAAATGATTACCCTTTAATGGCTTTGCTAGTTGCTACCCACTCCTTTAAATGAGATTGTCCCATTATCCAATTTTATATTTAATACTCTTAAGAATGATGGTTAAGTAGAAGATTTTTGTGATGATCTTGCAAGGTAAAACTTAAAATTAAAACCAAAGTATATTGTGATCTAACTTTAACAAGTTCTTGATTGGTATACAAGCCCTCTCTTGCTTTTTACAATAGTGGAAGAACACACTTTGAAAGCTGATCCGTTTTAAATGGTCTTTTAAGATTCCGTTTATTTTACCAATTCGAATTTAAAATTTAAATTTTATTACAATAAAAAACTCTCAAAAACAATCACATTTAACTTTTTTATTACAGTAAAAAAATCTCATATAAAGTCACATCTCAACTCAAATTAAAAACTTGAATCAACGAACTAATAGGACCGTAAAACTTACTATTGGGAACCACATATTTTGTTGAATAAATATTATAACTTATTGGGCTGTTCAAAGAAATTATGTACTTGTGGCCCTTACTGTTGCAAACATGTTCTAGTGTACCAAAACAAAATATTGTGCCTTGATGAATCCATTTTGGGCTCAGCATGCTTAGACTACAACTTCAATATTGCAATAGTGAAAAAAGTCCATATGAGTATAAATAATTGAAAAAATGAGACAATAAAATTCACGGGAAAATAATATATGTAAAAAGTGATAAAAAGAGTGACAGTAAATATAAAAAATAATAAAAAAAATGATAAAAAGAGTGATGTTAACATTTTTTTAAATAATAATAGAATGGAGCAGTGAATTACAACGAAATTATTCCTTTTCCATGTAATATAAGACAGTTACACAAAAAAGTGGGCAATTACAGACCACTGGGATTTCTACAATTTCACTCAAAAAATTCCTAGCTCAAGCAAGACCTAGATACCAAAATATACAGTTAAGTCACTTACATCTTCCCAGCATCCTACCAAAAAAAAAAAAAAAAAAAAAAAAGTTAAATAAGATATGACTATAATATTTACAAGCTAATGTTCACTCATCAGTGCTCTCACAGGAGCTGCCAAGATTAGGCATTATGTCATGAATTAAGAGTCTTATCATATTGCACCCTGATGATCTGCAAATATCCATGCACTCTTGAAGGTCAGCATCACAGGCTATCAGAACCCACTCTTGGTCATCGTCCATATATTTGATATCAAAAGTACCTACCTCCAATTTCAATCTCTTTGCCACTTCGTCTTTCAGCTCCACAATGCTAGAACTTGTGGGTATTCTAAACCTTATAATATCTTCTCTATATGTAGCCTTAATAGTCACACTTCTCATCTCTTGCCCAACTTTAACATTCGGCGTAGTTTGAGCAATAATGCCCGTCGTCTGCTTGGGAGCTAATTCAGAGCACGGGGGGTTTATCCAACAATATTGGTCTGGAACTGGTTCGTCCAAAATCGCATCTGCAGCTGCAGGACACAAGTTTCTCAAATCTTTTGAACTCCCAGCATCCTCAATTAGCATTCCTCTAAACAGTTCTTCAGATTCAACTGCCACAAGAGCATCTGGTATCGATTGTGCAACTGGAAACTGTAGTTCACCCGTAGGTTGTAGAGCTGACTCAGGAGAGCCATCTACTTTAACACATTGTTCATGAATGGAAGAAATGAACGGATCCTTTGCCATTACAGTTCCATTTGCAGGACTACCTTGGCATGAACCATGCGAAGTGGGTGTCCCAACACTCGCTTCCCTTGAACCACTGGCTGATTTCGACTGGTTTGAGCCTTTATTATTATTAACTTCGGGGAAAAAATATCCCCCGTTTTCATGGATGAGTTCTTTCTGACCTAATATCCCCACTCGCTGCCATTGATCTTCCATTCCAACTTGTCCCTCTCTTCTTGGTGAAGAAGTGGATGGTGATTCTTTCCTTTCCATAGGGGGGTCACAGGTTTGATGATTCGGTGAATTATGCTGATTAGTCCCGTTTGAGATAGAAGGCCGAGAAACAGAAGTAACGGGGACAGGAAGTGGACTTGTAGCAAGAGGAGTTAACCCAAATGCCCCTTCAGCACCTTGGACTGATTCAATTACACGTTTTAGCTTAGTAAGCGAACGATTAACCTTGTTGATTTTGCGAGACGGCCAGCGGGAGATTCCATGCTGCCTACAAATGCGTTTCATTGTAGTAGGGCAAACTGCAAAGAAAGACTCATTTTGAATGATCCATTCCATAACTGCAGGCTCACAATTCAACTCTCGTGTATGATAAAGATTTTAGCAACTTTAAATAACACAAGGAAAAAATTTGAAAAATGAAATCTTTTTACTAAATAAGCATACCACCAAGACTTTTTGCAGCATCTTTAAGGCTCCCCGCAAAGTATTGTTGAAGAACCTCCAGACTAATTGATTTCTCAGTTTTCCCACGCTTTCTCTCTGATGGCTTCTTTGTGTCTCTATTCTCCGGATTTGGTACTTGATTCATGTTTCCACCATCAAGAACAGCATCATGTACACCATTTGCCGCACTAGAGTCTGCAGTCAATTGCTGTTTTGACAAATCTCGTTGCGCCATTTCTCCTCCATTTGCTAAAGCACTAGGTCGAGGTGGAGACTCTGCAGATTGGGCTACCTGAATCCGTTCCAATGTTGATACATGTCCCTCCATTTCAGAAACTTTGATGACTTCCACAAACCCTTCCTCCTCAAGTCCATATCCAGAAGCAACTTTCAGACTCTGGAAATGCTTCTTCATTGTGGCGAATAGGGAACCCAATAAAGCCTGTTGTTCAGAAGGGTTTGTGATAGTCGGGGGAAGAAAAAATTCTAGAACGTAATTGTCATTTCCAGTATGGCTGCTCTGCAAGCAGATTGCAAAACAGCTAGTTAATTCAAACATGCGCGCATAGTGCACCAACGGGTAGTCATTTTTGCAAAACTGAGTGATGTCTCCGCAGAAGCATGAGTTACGAGACAAGAACGCCCTCCCAGCAACCCCTTGCCCCTTTTGTAAGTGATGCTCAAGACATGCCTCTCGGAAACCCCACATATGAGCATCTACGATGTAGAAAGCCACATCAGTTGTGGACATGCAGACTCGTCCCATGCAACTCCCATCAATGCTAGTACAGCTTTTCTTCAGGCCACCTCCATAGGCCAAAACATTTCGATGCATGCATGGAACCCAGGTCTGAGCCATGGGTAGTTTGTGAGTTTCACAGGCCGCTGTCAGGATCTCCAAAATTTCAGTCAACGCATTTTGGCGGCCTTCATTACATATCTGATTTATAAGAATTTCCAAGTATTTCAATCTGTGAGAATAGAGGGGACGAAATGAACAAACTCCAGATTCATCTTCTGGTTTACAAAAGAATGCCTAATTTGGAACACATGATAGTTGCAAACTTACCTGTGGGCTTGTATGATCTAATATCTCCGCACTTCTCAAGTTGACTGCCTGCAGGAACCCAAAATTACGTGAATGAACAAATCACTCGTTTGAGTTAACTTTATCAGCCAAGATGCAGATAATCATAATATAATTACATAATCCTATAGAAGATTAAAATTTTCTCATACACATTAAGTGTGTGTGTGTGTGTGTGTGTGTATTACACAATACTTTATATGCGTGACAAGGGAAATAGGAATCCAACCTCGAGAGCTTTGCAGACTTTATCAACCTCAGGTGCATAGTTGATCTTCTCAGAAGTCATTATAAGCTCAAGTACACCGATGCAGGACTGTCCAGAAGGTTCAAACACGGGCAATGCCAAACTTCCCCGCACATTATAATGCTGAGCATGATCCAGCCGTGGGTACTCCCTGATGGAGTAATACTGAACATTCGGGGTCCATTCAGGCAATTTTTGCCGGAAAACACGACCAGGTAGCCCAAGTACACCATTGGCCCCATCCACAGAAAACATATACATCACAGATGCCATCCTATACTGATGGAGTCCATTACTATCAGGATCAAGAACAAAGGGTTGCCCTGAAGTTGTGAGTACATACCGACACCCACTTTTTACCGGTGCCCAAATTTGAGCAAGAACATGCTGGTCAGTTGACTCCTTCAAGTACCGAAGTGCCTGAGTCATCCTCTCTTTTAGTAAATAATACCCATCTGGATTGTCAACTGGTAACAATCCCAAAAATGGGGAGGGAACTGGTTTGTTACCTTCGTTCTCTGCTTGCCTTTCTGCTGCCGTATTAGAATTACCTGTACTTGTGATATTTCCGAGAGAAAACTTATATGTTAGTGAATCGTGACCGTTACTGAAAACCTCTTATAGTGCTAAAGGGCACAAGATACCATGAGGTTTGTCAACAGACGACTAAATAAAGGCATTTTTTCCCATTCAGTTAAATAATATCGAGTCTTTGACTTCCAATATTAGCATATATCCAGAACGGAAAACGTTCTCAGATTGTTGCATATATTCTTCTAATTAGCTGAAAAACAAGAGAAACGTATTCCAGTTCCTAAAACTCTTATCTTGTTACTTGATAGTTCCCGAGGAAGTATGACATTAAAAAAGGGAAAAATGTTGAACTATTTCTAACAAGAAGCATTTGTTCCGTCATAAACCAAATTTGGAATCGCCCAAAAGAAAAAACTTTAGAATTAAATAATATCTTATTTTCCTTATCTCGAAATAAACAAACAGGATTTCCAGCTAGTTAGACAACTTCTCAAAGATTTCCCATTCGGTGACAAAAACGAGGAAGCTCAATCCAAACGCAGCGAAACCGAATCAAAAGCTTCAGAATCAACGAAATCAAAAGCTTCAGAATCAACGGAATCTCCATCGAACTGAAGCGAATAAGAGGGGAAAACTCACAGGAAGAAAGCAACCGAGAGGAATCAGCGATGGCGGAGTTGACGTGTCGGGCGAGCTTCTCTTCGTTGTCGGCGTCGCAGAAGGCCCAGAGAGGAGAGCAGGGCAGGTCGCCGGATGAGAAGACGAGAGGAGACATCGGATTGTTGGAGATGAAGGCGATCGGATCCATCGGCCATGGATTGTCAAGGTCGAGGTCGAAGTCCATGAGCACCTCTCGCACGTTCACAGCCTCCTTTGACTTCGCCGGGAAGGCGCGAGTAGCGGTGTTCTCTTCATCGGATTCGGACATTTTTTATTTATTTTCCTTTTCGTCCTCTCTTGGGGGAGTGATTGGTTTCCGAGGAAAACCTCTCTCCTCGAGGAAATAATAGAGAGAGAGTGGTGAGAGAGACAGAGTGGGTAAATTTAAAATGGAGAATTGCGGAATCCATTGAAATCCAACAGTTTTTTACAACTAGGCTTGGAGAGTTGTGCTTACTGCTTATGGATAAAATATGAGGGAATGCTTCCGTGTTGCACGCGACCACTGAAACTCCTTTCCCACTCCATCTTTCAGTTTCACAAAGATTGTTGTATTTTTTGCTTTTTCTTCTCCTTTGTGTTTTTCTCTTTCTTTCTTTTTTCTTTTTTAGATTTTCTCTTTCCTTTTTTCGTCCCTGAAGTGTTTTACATCAAAATATACTAATAATAATATGCAAATATTACTTTATAATAGAAATGTTCAAAAAATAAAAAATGACAATTAAAAAAAATTAATGTTGCGTCAAGATTGTTGTAGTCGAGCGATTAATCAAACTATTTTAATTATAAAATTTGACATCTACGTGTTAGTCGAACACCAAAACTAAACGACCACAAACTATTATATGTAGATTAGCGGATCATGAAATCTTGATGAGAGTTTGAATATATACGGTGTTATGGGGGAAAATATGGAGGACACGTGGAGGGAGGATAACATGACATGTGGCCTTAACCTATTCTCGCAAAGCAGAACCCTCGACGTCTGGGACCCCCTTCCCTTCCGTCGTTAAGAGCCCGAGTAAGAAGCCCAACTTAGGGCGTCGATTTTATATGACGTCGACAGGTCGTACCGTCGACCTTACAACATAGAAGTCTACCACCAAGAAGAACAATTGGGCTAAACAACACTGGCGACGAGGGGAATGCTCATTGGGGGAAAGCCTGACGTGGCAAGTTACGTAAGGGATGTCCACAGTACAGGCATTAAATGCAAACCCTTAAACCGCCCCTATAGGGGACAAAAAAGGGTTACAGCTGTGCACAGATCCGTAATGGGAGACTAATTGGCTGAGTGAACAGTGTGCAAAAAGTGATTAGTGGGCTACGGGCTGGGCCTAGAAATACAGACCACTTGAGTGCATGTTCAGCCTACAAGAGAAAACCCCTCCAACGAAAGAGGCTCGGCTATAAAAGGAGAGAAACCTCATACGGAAAGGAGTGGGATCTTTATGGAGAAAGAAAGAACAAAAGAGCAATTTGTAAATTGTAACAATCTCAAAAAGGAATGACAAACCACAGTGGATGTAGCTCTTCATTTTATAAGAGTGAACCATTATAAATCTTGTGTGTTTTCCTACTTTAAGTATTTTTTTTATATTGCCTACTACACAAAAAATACCACAGGCACATCAAACTCCTACACATAACCTATTTTTAAGCCGGTAATCCGACGGGAAACCCAGAGGTAAACCGGCCTGTTTTTGTTGACGAAAATTCACCGTCAACATACGGTATACTTAATCAATTAGAGCAGGAGCTTTTTAGGTTAGAATTAGGGTTTTGAAACCCTATTTCGTGTGAGAAATCAAGAGCCCCTTCATCTCATGATGACAGTCCTATTGTTTTTGCTCAATGTTCAATTAGTACAAATCAACTGCGAATCGGATGCATTTGGGATTCGTTATAAAATGATTTTGTTTTTTGTATGAAAATGGAAATGAAAACATTTTCAATCTCAGACATAAATCATTTTTGAAAATACATTTAGTAGTTTTATCAATATATTATTTTCAGTATAAAAAACTCATTAATGTATATATCTCTCTCTCTGCTCAAGAGAGGAGAAAACGAAAATAAAAAATGAAAAACGACTAAAAGTCGTTTTTCATTTATCTCTCATTTTACATTAAACTAAAAAATCGTTTTCATTTCCGTTTTTTATCTTTAATTGTGTCAAACGCCGTTTTAGAATCATTTTCATTTTTTCGTTCAAAACAAAAACGTAAAAAAATCAAAACAAAAATAATTCCAAACACAACAATTAAGTTGTTAAGATAGAATTATTTGCGTCATATATTCAGTTTATTTAATTAATTTTTATGACATAATACTAATTTGATATTATATTAACTGTTTGTAATTTGTAGTGTAGCTAAAGGGGAAAATGATTGCTAGGGAGTTTGTTTGGATATTTGTTCAAGTTTTTGAATACTATGGGTATATTTAGATTGGTTTAAAAAAAGTTATTTTTAGCTTATTTAGTCTAAAAACAGCTTTTGAATCTGTTTAGTTGGATAACCTTAAAGTATTTTTGACTTTTTAAAGCATTTTTAGAACAAATCATATCCTTAGTGCTTATGAAAAGCTTTTATATTTTCATTTTTAACCTTTTACTTGTGAACATCAAATTCAATATCACATCTATATTATTTTATTACATTACTTTTTATAACAATAAAATCTAAACATGTTCAAAAACTCTTATTAAATATAAAAATACTTTTTCAGGCATTATTCAAATATTAATAAAAAAACCTAAATTTATGCTTATCTTCTTTTATTATTTAAAAATATAAACACAAACTATCACAAAAGAGGCCCTACATCTATCTGATTGGCTTGAATATTTGTGTTGTACGATAACTTATGTGATCATGCCTATGTTTGTATACTGCTTTAGTCGTATACTATCTGATTGCCAGGGAAAATACGTGAAAAATGTTAGAAAAATCGATAATAACTGACTGACATTGACCAACTAATTCAATTTCGATCACTGTTTGGTTAGTCATTTTCTCTCTCTCTCGATCGATTTGACTTCTAATTTAACAAAAATTAAGAAGACGTTTGGTTCATGAATTAGAATCATGATATTAAAATTATTTTCAATTTACGTGTATTTTTTGTGAGAAAAAATACTGTAATGAATCACGAATTATGATTCAAATTGGGGTACGAATCTCCCAACCAAACAATACTTAACTGGTCGATTAATGATCAAAAACATTATTCCCTCAAAAAAGAAAAAGGAAAAAAGCCATTATGAAACTTAAAAAATAATGCAACAATAAAAGTTGCTTAAGTTAGAACAGAGCATCCCACTAGCGGCGTGTGTGGGCTAAACCCCAAATGACATGATAATTTTTTTTTTCCTTTTTTGCTTTACGTTTTATTAGGGAAAAGAGAAATGCTGAATAATTTTGAAATCATTTTAACAAACCTTTTATCCAAAACAATTTTTGGATGATTATTGAATGACCTATTTAGCTTCTTTATTTAAAAAAAAAAAATGAATGACCTATTCTATATCTCTTGGAAAAAGGTCAACGTTTTGACAATTATTTTTTAATCTTTTTTTGAAACTAATTTTGGTTGAATTCTTCTACTACTGATGAGTGTAATGGAAATAGACTCAAAAGCATGAATTATTGAATTCCAAAAAGTTTGGACTTCTTTCATCAGCCCTCTAAAAACTGGACATATGATGGAATAGTTTTCATAATATTTTTCTTTATTTGATATGATTCTTATGTAATTTAACGGTTCATAACTATTGTCTTATCATTTTTGCATTCAGTAACTGGTAATAGTGATTTGGATGCTTATTTTATTCATTCTCTCTGCCTGCTAATTCCCTTCTTGTCTGCTTGCAATAATAATTTGTTATTTATTCTTTCTTTTAAAATAATAATAAAAATTTATGTGTTTCCCAGAAGACCCGTGTTTGATAATTTTGTCTGTAGTAGAGATCTGAGGTAGCATTTGAAGCACTATGGTCCTCAAACTATATTGATTTTGTCTCTCAATAAGATTTGGAAATTATCCTATTTATGCTCAATAGTGATTACAACCATATATTCTCTTTCACGAAAGTCTTAAGTGGTCTCCCCAATGGATACAAACAAATATTTTAGCAAATTTAGGAGGTGTTTAATATAAAGATTCGTATCATAATTTGAATCATGATTTGTCTCGTTACAGTATTTTTTCTCATAAAAAACACACATAAATTGAGAATGATTTTAAATCTATAAACTAAACGTTCACTTAATTTAAGTATAAAATTAATAATACTAAAAAAAAAGGCATCAACTAAAGAAAAGAAATAGAAAAAAAAAAGTAAGTGCGCATAGCCTAAGAAACAATTACCAAAAAGTAAATCTAATTTTTATTGCTGAATTTTTGTCTGTTTATAAGAGAAATGACAAAGTGTGACACAAAAGCAAGAACATTGATTAGTTGGTCTGTTAAGTCTTTCTATATACAAAAAATTAAATGAGCAAGTTGTTGGCTTTTACGATAATCATTAGCTTATTATAAAGTTCACTTTAACATTATTTACAAATTAGAATTAGCCCACTTCTAGGATTCTTAAATCAAGAAAGACGAATTGTTCCAAGCATTAATTATTTTTTTCCCTTTAATTATTTCTTTCATAAAAAGAAAATTGGAACTAAAACCAATGAGAAGGATTGCCGATTCCATTACTCTACTTGTACCATAAAATAAAGATTGGTCACTGGTCAATGTGATATGCCCAAAACTGACAGTGAAAGAGAACCCAAATGGTTGGTATTATTATATGGTAAAACATATTGAAGTTGGAAGCTGAAAACTATGGAAATTGACATTTCAAAAAAAAAAAAAAAAAGAATATTGAATTGGGATTTAGAAACAAGGTAATATGAGTTGTTTATTTGGATAGTATCTTATAAAAAAAAATGTTAATGTAGATACAATGGACCCATTTAAGGCAGTGGCAAATTGATTATATTGCTGAGGACTTTGGAAGCTGCTTTTTAAATGTGAACGAAGAACTTACAGATAAGGATCAGGATCCTTCGGTCCACCACACAAGCGCAAAACATAAATAAACAAATAAATAAAAGGATCTTCAGACATATCAATAATTTTGTGGATAGAAAATACTAATCACTTTCCCTTAAGCAATAATTTTATAGGTAGAAAATGCTAATCACTTTTTTCTACATCAATTATTTTTTGCAACTTCTTGTATTTATTCCCCCCTCAATTTACGTAAAAGTGGCCTTTTTTACCTTTCAGAAAACATCAATATTAGGTAGCTCTGAATATATATATATATATATATATATTTTCCTTTTTCCAGGTGTGTGACAAGTGATAAATTTCGCGAAGATTTGGCATAAAGCATAGTCAGAAAGAGAAAACATAATGGACTCTTATGTAACAATTTTTCTTTAACTCAATAAGAATAAAGGAGCTTTTATTGTAGGATTATAAAAAAAATAAATTGTCGATAGTTTTTTATTTTCTAACCATTAGATTTATATAAAAAATTATCTATTTTACGTTTTTTTTTAATTTAACGTGACATTACCTATAAAAAGGCATAGCTGCCGTCTACCATTTGATCTGCAGAATTGAGGGCTACCTTAGAAGTTAAGAGGAGAAAAATATATTGACAGAAAACCGAGCTGAAAGGGAGAGAAGAGAGAAGCCAGCACATGGAAATCGACTCATTCGTATTAATTTTGGCAAACGACAGCATATTCACAACCGGTCTAGCCCACATGTCTGGTCTCCCCATATGTTTTGTCTCTTTTTTTATTATGGTCTGTTCTGTTCTGCTGCCTTGTTTAAGCACATAACTTGTGGATGAAAATACACCTTTCGCTACATATATACTGTGGCTTTTGCCAAGAAGCGGAATTGGAGCACTAACCCTATTGCATCAAAAAACTATCAATGCCTTTCTTCAAAAATAAATAAATAAATAAAAACAAAAAACAAAACTATCAATTCCTTTCTATAGCCTCCCCAGTCCCCGCACACAAAAGAAGAACAAAAAAAAAAAAAAAAAAAAAAAAAAAAAAAAAAAAGTAGAGGCAGTAACTAGTAATGGCTTTATATGGGGTGCAAATGCTGACAAATGAAAGAAATTAAATTAAAGGCGTGAAGTTTCTAGAACTTATATATATATATATATATATATATATATGCGCAATTTTAGCTTATTGATAATTTAATGGAAGCTTCTTGTAGAATCAGAAAAAATAAACTATCGTTGTCAAAATTTATATAAAAAATTATCTATTTTGTATATTTTTTAAATTTGATGTGATTTTAACCGAATCTAACAGTTAAAAATTGACATACCGATGGACTAGGCTTGGGGACTCCCTAATTTAATATTGATTGTACTGTTACCATACAAAGCTAAAATTCCAATACTAATAGAAAACTTTGGCATTTAGTAAGAACTAAGAAAATTATTCTGTAATTTGCTAAAAGGAATTCTCTAATTAAACAAGTACTGCATATGCTTATTTAACTATTGATTTTTTCCCAAAATAATCCCAAACATTCTCTTTTCTTAATTTTTGGAAATAAAAAACTTTTCTTTTGAGAGCTTCTGAGCTTAACAGTTAATTTTGGAGAAAATAAAGATATAACATTTCAAAAAAATTATGTATTGAAGTACAAGATAATTTGAAACAATATATCGAATATATTAATCTGACACTTATTTTGCACCAAATATAACATTAAGATTGGCATTTTTTTTTATTAGAGATGATCTTACTTCAAATGTTGAGATCCAACCTCTCCATTTCCAAGTTTAAAATGAAATATGTTGCCACATTGTTGTTGTTATTTATTTATTTATTTAATTTTTTAAGCAATGGCCTAGACAAGTTAATCTATAGTAGAATGTAGTGATTGATGTAATATATTTTTTTAAAACCGTACTGTTTACGTAGATTTGAGTCCTGATTTATAGTTATGAGGTCTGGCTCTCTTTTTTAAAATAAGCTATTTAGAATAATAGAATTAGATAATAAGAATATTTAAGAACTAACTTGATAGATAGCAGTAAGGAACATAAATCTGCAACAAATCATGTGACTACTGAGAGTAAGGAATCAATCTGCAACGAGGAATCTGGTTGTGGTGGACCATAATATTCCAATTTCATCTACTTCTTAAAAAAATAAAAAAAATAAAGTTTAGATTTATGAAATTTTTTAGTATTGGGGAAGGTGAAGATAGTGTTGGTCATGTTGAACAATCCCAAACTCCTCATGGGAGAAGAGAAACAAAAAGTTTATTCTTATTATTATTATTATTATTATTATTATTATTATTGAGACATTCTCTGTTATGTTAACATACTGGTAGATTAAGTTTTTTATTTGTTGAATCTGTATAAAATCACATAAAAATTAAAAGATACACAAATTTAACAGTTAAAAAAACTTAATCTACCGATACACCAGATATACTAGAGAATCTCCCTTCTTATTATTATTGATGAGCATTTTTTATTTTTATTTTTGGGAAGTGAATCGGCAAATGACGTGTACCACATACATTTGTGATTGTATAATAAACGTAGATATGGTTCCACGAAATCGGGCCACTTTACGGAAAGGTGCAGACAAAATATACTTTAAAAAATTGCACAAGGACATGGATAAAAACCAAGTCCAGCGACATACATTTAGCTTCTTTTTTTTTTTTTTGTTTTTTTCAAAAAATGATTATTTCTGTTGACAATTCTTCCAAAAACTTTGTTGGTAATAAGATGACATAACACTAGTTAGTGCGAGGACATGTGTATTATATGTATAGGTCATTACACTACACCCTTGGCCGAGTCAAAACAAAAATAAAGTAACTTCCCACCAAAAAGAAGAAAAAGAAATCCAAAGATGCAAAGTCAAACGCTGAATTAAACAACCAATTTTTGTGTTTTCTTTAGTAAGTGAAAGCGAAATGCTCAAATTATTGTATGATAACCAACTTTTCTCCCTACTCTCCAACAAATAAAGTACAAGAGACAGAGGCATAAAGCAAAGACTATATATATACATACATACATACGTGTGTATATATATATATATATACACACACACACACACAAATACTCAAAGACCACATTATATTATTGGTCGGCTGCAGCCATTTATATGTATACGTAGGATTATTTGTGCTTACTTTTTCTCCATTGTCAATTGAGCATTCAATCATATACTTGGTGATATACTGGTAATCTTTGCTGGAATCCAATTCATGACAACACGTTTCCAATGTCATATACGTATTAGTAGCTTCTATTTACTCCAAAACGTTTGGGGGTTCAGTTTTTGTCTTCTAAAAAAAAGACTGTTAGTGTTATTACGCCTCCATTTTCATTAGATGAAATTCCAAGACCTACAAATAAACAGGAAATACTTGATCAATCTTACTAAAAAAATGACTAAATTTCACTCACACCATTATAACTTATGAGTCTGACGCTGCATATTAATTGGTCGAGCGTGACCTCTGATTGAGATTATTGAGCATTAAACCTTGACACATTTTGAAAGAATAAAAAAGGACGTCTTTACTGCCGTACCACCCCAGTAATGTTTGAGATTCAACTTGCCACTATGCATAAGAACTATTTGCTTTTTTTTAAAAAAAAAAAAAAAAAGAAAGAAAAATCTATGTCCATGATCACTTTGTGATGGAAAACCACTCATTTATCACTATCATTTGTTCATCCAGTAAAATTAAGTAATGTTATTCATTGATTAATACTGAAAATACAAAAGAATAAGACATTCCATTGAAGTGTGTATTACACAACTAACGATTTGAAGAGCACTAACTATTATTTTCTCGGTCGTTTTCAAAAGGGTAATCTAGGAATTAAAAAAATATTTGTCAACGTGGCAAGTAATGGGAATCGCATTCTGATGTATATCCAAGCCGGAATCTAATCTACATCTCTCATGTTCAGTAATCGAATTCCAGATATTTCCATATCTTTCCACTTATGGACATCAACTTGGCCATTTGGTAGATCTCATTAACCTTGAATATTGCATATTGAGATGTCTCCACACTTTATTAGCAAAAACTTTCCACTAATCGTGTAATTGCACTAAAATATTGACAAGACAGATTACGCCATTGTAATTGGAGTATTGGAAATTTAGAAAAGTCAAAACTTTTTATTTCCTTTTAATTATCTAATGCAATTATTACCATCAAACAAAACTAAGAGTATGTTTGGTAGGAAAGAAAAGTAGAAGGAAGGAAGAAGGTGGAGGGATTTTGAGAGGAAAAATGAAAATATAGGTTGTTTGGTAGGAGAGAAAAGAGAATACTACATGTGGGCCTCATCATTTTTTTTCTTTCCACAAGTGGGCAGAAAATGAGATGAAAAATGTGGACTACTCATTAAAGTGAGCAAAGTTACTAAACTACTATTTTCTCCATCAACATCCAAACAAAAAATTTAAGGGTATAAAAGTAATTTACAAGTAAGATTTTTTCTTTCCTCCCAATTTAACTTCCAATACCAAACAAGTGAAGGTAAGCTCATTTTCTTTTCATCTTCTCATACCAAACAACATAAAAGAAAATCAATTTCCTTTCCATCATTATTATTTTCCATCACTTTCATATTTTCTTTCTATCATATTTTCTTTCCTTCCTACCAAACATAGCATAAATGTAAATAGGAGGCGGGAGACTTGTTTAGTTGTCAAGAATATATTCTTGAACATTGCAAATGAGATGAATCTTCACGATTTCAAGCAAGATGGATAAAAAGGTTTTTTATTTTTTTTATTTTTTATTTTTAAGATGGATAAAAAGGTGGCTCAACTTGCATTTATATCAAGTTCACGTCAGCTCTCAAGAACGAGATCGGAATTGGAGGAGAAAACGACCAATATGTTATGCTAAAACCATAAATTTAGGCACATTGTTTCGTATACTCAAACTCAAATAATTCATCCTATTAAAGTGTTTTCCTCTCACAAAAAATTTAAATTTCAAACATCATAATCAATAATCATAATTTGAGTATACCTTCTAAACGGACCTAATTTTCCATTCATCCAAACACAAAGGTAATCTTTCTTTGCACCTCGTGGGTAAGAAGGAAAATAGATGAAACATTATTTATATTCAAGTCACAAAATTTCCCTTACAAGAATGCACCATCATCCACACGGTTCAATCATTGGATCAGGAAACTCCTATAACTACAGAAGTTGATCAGTAGCTTTCATATCTCATCCCATCAAGGGAAATAAGACAAGTGCGAGACGGGTTGTAACGGATGATATGCAGCGATTTCCAGGGTACCAAACGCAACTACATTTAGAAAAATATGATTGACACGCCCATTGTAAAGCATCCAACAGCCACCCAAGGGCTCAATCGTTCACCTATTTCAAGTAACCGCAAAAGTTATTCATCAGGGGGGGGAAAAAAAAAAAGGACTCCAATGCAAACAAGGATTGACTTAAACACAGACTTGAATGATCACACGCTAAACCAGAAGGGCACCAACTAATTTGTATATTCTACCTATGTCCATCTTTATGGGTTTGTTTAAATATGTATGAAGAAGTATAAAGGGTAGTTCTAAGTCATGCCTAATGCTTAGGTTGCCTTAATGAGAGAGTCCCACTACAATAACTTCATCTAATCTATTAATCCTTGTATAACAAGATCTCCTCACCCTTCAATGCAATTAGACAATACAGAAAATTGATTTCAGGTTCAGATATACTCTGTAAAGTTGATGGGAGCTACACAACCAAATACTTAAGTACGTACCTATTCTAGCCGCCTTCCAAAAGAATCCACGAAATCTGCCAAAAGAATAATATTTGTAAGAACACAGATAGGAAAATCTTAACAGATATGCATATAAAGGCAAACAACAAGACATTTAAAAAAGAAGTAAAAGCGAAGTAGAAGACGAGGCAAATGCTTGAAAATGCAAACTACAGCCACCTAATTTATCAACAACCATTCCAAAGGCAGAAATTACATCATTTTTTCCTGCAATCTCAAAGTAAACCACCAGCAGAAATGGTGTATGAAGGATCAAAATTAAACAAAAGGTGAAATCGAACCACCTATGCATCACACAATTATTTTCAAAAAAAAAAAAAAAAAAAAAAAAAAAAGCTTTTCATACTTCTTCCCGATAATCCTAGTTAGGCCTGTGATTTGCTCCCATCTAAGCCTCAGTGAAAATCTAAGCCTCCATAGGCTTGTGGCTATTCACCAAGTAACCTGGCAAGTTAAACCCAGATTAGATGGGAGCAAATCACAGGCCTAACTATTTGATGAGCTATTTCTAAAAGTGTCCTTTATGCACTCTTATTAGAGCATATTATTATCCAACCCACCATTTTCCCTACTCCCGAAGAATTTTGACAGAAGAAGATTCCAAAGACATTCATTTATGTCTCTCATACTATGTAAACGTGCAATAAGCCTATAATTACATAAACCAAGCACCCCAAAACTGAAAAGCCGACTAATCAAGTAGTGTGTTTGGAAAGAGTGTCTAAAAGTACTTCACACGGACACCATTAACCTTAAACCAAGCACATTTACAGTTATTTGGAGAAGCCACAATTCTCAACTTTTGGCTTGTAAAAGTAGAACTTCCTCCAAAACATTAATCCTAAACTAAGCCTAAAGGCGTTCTAAGTCCAAATAAACTTTGACATTACCAAAACAAAACTGAAAAATTACACTTCTGATCCATAATTACCAACCATTCACAAATCACAACCAAACAAATTGCACGCGTCCTTCATCTCATATCATTGATTAATGCAAAATAAACCATAAATAATTCATAAATCAAAGTCTCCACATTTCTGAATCACTATTTTTCTTTGTTCCATTCATTCCAAATATTACAAAAGTCACCACCGCAACACAAATCTTAGCTAGTTAAACCCAAACACAACTGAACCTAAAGAATCAGAATCAAATTTACAATGCCAAAGGAGTGGAAACCAACCCAGTTTTCTGCTCAAGGATCGCCGGGAATTGCATCTTCAAGAAAGTGCAAGTGCAAATCACCAAAAGCACCACCGTCAAGAACGAATGGAAATTGAAAAGCGCCGACTTCATCAATCCCCAACAGATTAACAAAATACAAAATTGTGAATAAAATAAATAAATAAAAACTAAAAATTCGAATCAAAATACAGAAGTTTAGATGCGAAAAAATTCATAAACTGAGATGAAACGATCATACCATTTCTAGGTTTCTTAAATCCGATCAGATCTGCGCGACGAACAAATTGAACCGCGAGTAACGATCGGATTACGTATTGAACACGAAATATCCAGAGAAATCGTTTCCCTGCTAGGGTTTAAGGAAGAAAAAGAATCAAGATTTGGGAAAAGCTTTTCAGAAATCAACACTACAGGTTCGCTACAGAAATCATATATCAAGTTTGATGTGGTCGACATGATTATGATGAAAACTTCAGAAAGGAGAAAACTTGACGCTATACGACAGCGTTTCCATGGCAAAAAGATTCGCTATCAGAAAACGACATGTCGTCAATACAAATCTTAGATTTTATGTATGGATACCCCTGAACTTTTTAATTTTATCAACTAAGTCCTTAAACTAAATAATTTGGCAATTAAACTCTCAAATTTCAAAATCGTTGCATTGCTACTCCAATTTTTTTTTTTTTTAAATTTTTTTTCCCAAACTTGAAATTCGGAAATTTAAAAGGCAAAGTTCGCGCCATTTCAAAGCAAAGTCTTCTTCTCCTCGTGAGAATCTTCATCGTCTTGTCCTGGATTCTTCGTCGCCATTTCAGAGCTTATTATCGATTACGTTTTCTTCAGAACTTTCATTTTTTTTTCCTTTTCCCCTTCTTCCGAATTATCTTCACAACTCTGTTGAGAATCGTCAATGGCGGATGTGAAGAAATGGAGAGTGACCTACACGAGGCACATCAAGCAGAAGCGCAAGGTTTATCAAGACGGATTCTTGGAGCTTCACAAAACAACCAACAAGGTAAGAATGTATTTACGATTACTCAGAAAATTTATCGATCTTTCTTTTCTTTTAATTTGTCTCAACAATTTTGCGTGTTTGATTTGCGATTCTGAATTTGTGTGCAGCTTTTGCTGTACGACGAAGGCGAGAAGCTTTTGGAATGCAGGATTTTGAAGAAAGACGAAGTAGTTAGCTGTGGCGAAACTCTCACATTCAATGCTTTCCTTGTCGACGTCAATGGCGCCGAGGGAGATCACGAGGAGCCTCCAAATTCTTCAAATTTACGTAGAAGAGAAAGTCGAACCGCCGAGAAAAGCAAATCGCGGCGGCCTCCTCTGAGTCCATCGCATATGATTATAAAAGGTTTGCTAAGATCTGAATGATCTCTGTTAATCTCTTTTGTAATTTCAATAATTCCATTGCACAATCGGCCTGAGGATTTCAAAGGAGCTTGTTGTCTTTTCTGTGTACACTAGCAGAAAATGATCGACATTAGTATGGATTTGTATGTGTGTTTATCTGATGATGAAATTTCTTAGATTTTAAGAAGAGAGAACTACGCAAGTATGAAGCAATACAAAGCAAATCTCCGGATACAACAAAATCAAGTGTAACAGGTTCGTCCTCTATATATATATATATAATTTTTTTTTTCCGGCATAAGTAATGGGGACTCCTATCCATGTATTTGTGCAACTGAGATTTTTTGCTATTTTTTTTTTTCCGGCAAAAGTAATGGGGACTCCTATCCATGTATTTGTGCAACTGAGATTTTTTGCTAAAAGATTTTTCATTTGTGGCAGTTTAATTTTACATGTTTTTTGTGTGATAATCATCTATTTGATATAATTTTGTTATTGTTGTATTACCTAGTTGATCCTTTATAATGCAGAATGGGAAGTCTTGTACACAACACAGCTCACACAAAAGGCGAAGAAGTATCATGATGGTTTTGTACAGCTTTCGATTCGTGGATCCATTGGGAGGCAGGTTGACTCCTAAAACCACTTCTGCGTCTGTGTTTTAACTGATATGGACAAATGACTGATCAGGAAATATGTTTCTTTCATCACCCTCTCAAGTTTCTTGCTTTTTCAGCCAAATATGATTTCTCATATTTCCCCCTTGGTTTCAGCTCACGCTATTTGATGAAAGCAGAAATAGCTTAGACAGCAGGTTTCTGAAGAAAGGTGAAAAGATAGAATCCGGATTAACAATAGCATTCAATGGTCACTTAGTTGAAATCGGAGAACCTCGAGGAGATCATGAAAGCAATGAAAAAAATCATTCCAATGTCAAAAGGGAAAAGGGAGTAATGCACGGACAGCAAAGCTGTGGTTACAGGAAAAATACTCTTAAAAAAGGTTATTAAGATGAACATTAAAGTTTTCAGAAATTTGAATTTTTTTGAGAATTCTTTCTTAATTTATCATTCGCCTTTTTCTAAGGCATAAACTTGGACCAATTTTCTTTGTATATGTTACTTTTGGGATCTGTAAAATTTTTTCTTGGCTAGATAATATGTACCAGCAGCCCTTATGGGGGTCCGCTTATTATCGAACCAAATAATTAGTTGCTTTCTTTTCTTGTGGCCATTTACTCCTAAAATTGTTTTTTCTGGGATATGTGGCTTCAAAACAGTTGCAATAGCCTTTCATTCTCAAATGTAATAGTTTTCTCTATTCCAGAGTCCATTGAGAATGAAGTTCGAAACGACGGGGTATCTCAAGGAAGTCAGGATTCAGCGGAACCTAGTGCAACAGGTTAACATGTTCAATCTTTTCTAATATGCCCAACTGTTGACTTTACGTCCCTGATTAAATGCCTTTTTGATGTAGAGTGGCAGGTCCTCTACACAACACAATTAACTCAAAAATCCAAGAAGTATCATGATGGTTTCTTAAAGCTTGAAATTTGTGGCTCCCGTGGGAGGCAGGTACGTCTTCTGCACTAATTTTACTTTGTTGCCATCTTATTTGGGTGATTGTCTTGTATGTTAATCCATCCACACGAATGGACGCAAACATCCTATTTCCAATCATTTACGTAGATATAGAAGTCTGACTTACCTGTTTTGATGCTTTTCTGATATGTTCAGTTTAAGTTGACACTTTTTTTCTTCCACTAGGCTATGCTGTATGATGAAACTAGGAAACTCTTGAATACCAGATTCCTGAAAAAAGAAGTTTTAAGAACTGGTGTATCATTGGCATTTGATGCATATTTGATTGACATTGGAGAACTTGAAGTAAAAAATGAAACTAGAGCTGAGTTAACCGTTCAAGCAAACAATTGCAATATCGTCAAGGAAATAACGAAAATGCACGGACAACAAAATTCTCTCACATCCAATAACTGTGTTTTAAAAGGTTAGTGTGATGTAGTTGTCATACAATCTTCTTTTTTTTTTTTTTTGATGCATATTTGATTGACATTGGAGAACTTGAAGTAAAAAATGAAACTAGAGCTGAGTTAACCGTTCAAGCAAACAATTGCAATATCGTCAAGGAAATAACGAAAATGCACGGACAACAAAATTCTCTCACATCCAATAACTGTGTTTTAAAAGGTTAGTGTGATGTAGTTGTCATACAATCTTCTTTTTTTTTTTCTTTTTTCCTGGCTGTTAGTTTAAGAAATCATTTACTATTCTCTCCATCTTATGCATGTTCTTTTCCTTGCCAATAACCCTTCTTCTTATTGATTATGAAAAAGTTTTGCGCTTAACAATCTTTTGACTACTAAGCATGGGATATTGAGAAAATAAACCTTTTAAAACATCCAATATCCTCTCACATCCAATATCCTCCTGATGTTAATATGTTATCTTGGTTGCATTGCAGGAAAATCTCACACCAATGTCCGTTTAAGGAAAGATGCAGAATCAAAATTCAACTTCTCCAATCTGCCTACAAAGGAAGCAAGCATGGAGGAACCTTCAAATAAGCGTTTACGTGATGGTGTGTCTATATATCCTTAAATTATAAAAAAATATTGAAACGAGACAATATGTCCCGCCCCATCAATTATTCATTAAATTTTGGCTGGTAACTAAATTATCATTTTGTTATTATAATCATTACTTTGGACGTTTTCTTGTGCATGTTTGCCTTCTTATCTACCACCTAATTTTAGCGTTTGGTTATGCATATCTTGGGTCATTGAAATGAATGGCTTTGAGAATTACTTTTCCACTTGCACATATGTAAATGCACTATCTTGAAAACAGAAGGCCTCGACAGAGCCGAAAGTTTGTTCTTGATCTCAAACTCTGGATTGCATGCAATCATATTAATATGCACCTTAACATATTGCTTATCAAACATACTTTCTTCCCCATTGTGCAGTCAGTCAAATTTTGTCTATTCTGCAAAAACCTAGGAAGGAAGAAAGCATGGCTGCAGGTTATACAGATGACAAGGTGACCCCTACAAAGCGGCCTAAAGTTTCAAATGCTGCAGTTCTCGAACTCCCTGAAGATGATCAACCACCAAAATCATTAGTCCCACATGATCAATCAACTGAAAATGTGGATGCTAGGGAATCAAGAGAAAATATAGACCTTGACAAACCATCTGATACTATGTCTTCCAAAGGCAAATCGTGCAACTTTTTAAATTTGAAATGTGAATCACTCTCAAGACGTTCAATTTATTCTGAACATCTGACAAAAAACTTAAAACGAATTCCGGTTTTGCAGAAATATCCAGTTGCAGTGGCAGCCAAGTAGCTAAGGACATGGATAATGGAAACTTCGACCAGGTACAAACCACAATTCTCCTTATTTTCTGCTGAGAAAATAGACACACTCATGGTGTACAATCATTTTTCATCACGGTTCATTGTTATGATTCATATATAGATACTCTTTTGTCGTCGTTTTTGGTAGAATGTTGGTGTTCCTCAACCCAAGAGGAAGAAGAAAAAAATGAAAAATGAAAACGAAAAGTATAACATTAACTTCTCTCTTATTGTTGCAGCAGCTTTATTCAGAAAACACGGAGGTTGATGCATGGTGTGATGGAGCAAACGCTTCCAATATGCCAAGTTCCGCCCCTTCTTGTGGTCATGTTAGTGATAAAAAGAATCTTTCTCAGGAACTCACTTGTGTGAAGGAAATGGACGAATACCCAAGTTTTGATCTTGGATTTTAAATAGTGACAGCATTATTAACATAGAAGCCTTGTTACGGCTCAATGATGCAGTGGAACACAATCAAAATATTGTCACATGAAAGGTTAATACCGTACCATTTCCCTTTTCAAAATTGTTAGTGACAAGTATAATCTAAGTACGATTCACTCGTCTCTTAAAAATTACAGTTCTTATAAGATACAATTGTAAAGTGTGCCATGAAGACTTGTGCAAGAAGGAAGCCTAAACATCCAGTTGAACACTTGCAGTATATGATAAAAGATCCTTTTTTTTTTTCTCTTAAAGAAATTGTGTAGGAATGTGAAACAAATATCATTACCATAAGACTAAAATGACTTGGAAGAACGAATTACTTCAAATGTGCTCCTTTATAGATCTCAGTTCCCATTGAAGTTGTACTTGTTTGACGTGGCATCCTTTTTACGCTTGCGCATGCTAACCAAAGCCTTCAATATGCGTCTGTTTAAGCCAGAATGTTCTGGACTTTTGGCTCTATCTCTTTCTGTATGAATAGACATCGAAACCGATCTCCAAGGCTCTGTTGGGTACTGCAAATATAGAAGAAACAGCATTTTCTGTTAAATCTACTCGGACAATATGCCAAAACCACAACCTACTCGTTCAAACAATTTCTCCGCCATTCTATAACTAGTAGTTCATGCTTACCCGTTGTTTGGAAGCAGAGGAGTTCACGGTCGTTGATCTCTTGACAAGACCGGAATGCGGAAAATGATTTGCTGGTTCTTTCCTCTCTGATGAAACCAGAGAAAAGAAAAAAGAAAGAGAGAAAATATAATAATAAGAGCATACAATCCCACAAAAACCCTCTTAAGACCTCATAATTAACATTGTTAAATCCACCAGGGAAAGACATTTATAAACATTGATATAGACCTGCTTTGGAGGCTGTTCTTGTCAAGTGAAAGGTTTTGGGTGAAGATTGTGAAGACGGCGTTGACGTTGAATTCTCTTCACTGAATGGGCCAAATGGCAGTTTACAAAGAAGAGCATGAGCTCGGTGAAATTATAGGCATGTGTGAGTTTATTATAACAGTGTTTCCATTTCAAAGAATAGTGTATCAGTATCTACCTCACTATTGTTGGAGAGATCTCCCTAGTTGTTGCTTTGGAAAAAACATTCAGAAAAATAAACCAGTTAGCATTTCCGTAGTAACTTGAAAGAGATATACCGAAGTTATTGCAGAGATGAAACTGAAATACCATTTCTGAATTGAAACCAATCATTTTCGACACCGTGATACATCAAATTAGACTGACCAATAGCATTTTTGGCGGCTCCACCTGAACAAAATCATATATATATATATATATATTAGTGTAACCAGGTCACTAAAACACATTTTTCTTTTCGAGATTAATCAAATTTTTATTGTGAGGAGAAGAGTTTTATGAATGAATGAATGAATGAATACATAGGAGAGCATATTTGCCTGGAATGATGTACCGCTTATGATGCCTTGGAAAACTAAATGCCAACGATTGTTGGAACAAACCACTGCGATCGATGAGGTCTTGGCTTGTTCTCTGTCTCTAAGATGGCCAAGAAACAGATTCAGAAGATAAAAATAATACATATAGGCCCCGTTCACTTTGCAGATTCGAGTTTTCAATTCGAGCTGAGATGTAATATTTTTTGAGAGCTTTTTACTGTAACAGAAAAAGTTCGATGTGACATTTTATGATAACTTTTTACTGTAGAAACTTAAAATTAAAAACCCGAATCGGTGAAATGAACGAGGCCATAATATTAGAGAGGAAAGTGTTACAAAATAATCGCATTCTGGAATAATTTTAGTGAGTGTTGAAAGTATGAAACTTCGATAAGATACAATTCTTAACCGTTAAATCACATTAGCATCCTACTATACTCAGACTAAAAAAAGTATGATAATTTAACGAAACTTGATGAAAATCTAATTATAAAAAACTATTTCCGTACAAAGATTAGATTTTATGGTAACTGATATACAATATGCACTCCTATGCACTCAAAGACAGATACACTCTAAATCATAAAATTGCAATCAAATTCTGAGCAAAGGGAGGGTAAATTTTGGAGGCATAATAATGTTTGATGGAAAATTATAGCAATTGCCATTTGAAATAGGTTCTTCTGTCCTCCAAATGGGCTCTTTTTTGCATCAGTTTACACAGAAAATACTACTATCTTTTCCTGAAATAACAGGGAAGTGAACTAAGTACCTGCTCAATGCAAGAGAATTTGAGGTCAGCTTCAGAAACGTCAACAGTTTTTTCATCCACAAAATTGTTGACCTTATCTGCCATAGAACCCAAGTGGTCTACAGTATTTATGAATGCTTTAATGGTGTAATCTTTTAAGGTCTCCACCACTCTAAAGATTATGAAGAACAAGATAGAAGATTAAGAACTGTAATCGAAAACGAAAATGATAGAAAGCAGAAAAAAAAAGTTTTGTACATAAACTGACTTACATTTGTTTCTGATCGTCTTTGCTATAAGATAATTCAAAATACTCTGCTGCTGAGTACAACTGTTTCCTCAGATTCTTCAATTCCTTAATTCCCAAATGCATTAAAAAAAAAACACAATTTAATTTTGTCTCGTCACAATTCTTTCATAAGCTCAGTCATTCTGAAAATTTTGAAACAAGAAATTGTAATAAATTGCATTGTAAATCTTAATCAATGAGATAATTAACTAGAGCTCACATTCAAGCTCTCTGAGAAGACCATCCTTTGCTGCATAAAGAGTTCATCATGGTGTGAAGGCTTTGGTGCAGAAACTGAAGAGGTAAAATTAACACTCTCCATGGACAAGTATTCTTTTGACCTGTTATGAAAATCTAAAAGGAAAAAGAAATTTTAGAATCATGTTTAATCTGTGACCCCTTGAGCCATTATAAGAAGGAGCTTTCCGTAGAACCCCACCCGCAGAGTAATATATATATATATATATATATATATATATATTTTCATACCTTGTGGTAAAAATCTTGTTATAGGAAACTATATGCAGATTTTAATAGAAAAGTTCAACTGCTATTTGGAACATCAATTATAATTATATGGCTCGTTTGGTTTGAACAGAAAAGTTTAAACAAAAATTTAAATATTATGAGAGAAAGTATTATAGCCAAAAAAAATTTAAACAATAGTTCGAATCTATAAAACAATCTCCCTAGTAGTTTATTGACTAGAAAAGCACAATTTTTTGGTCAAACTGCAACTGTTGGATGGAAACTTGTCCATATGTCTCAGTGAATTATGTGGCTTGTGAAAGTTATTTTTCCATTATGGAACTAAATTAACAACAGTCATAATATTCAAGTAATTCAGGTTTTTCTTCACAAACAAACAGAAAAATGGACGTCTGTAAAATACCAAACAAAATGCAGTACGAAAGAAAAGAACAGACAATAGAGTGATCAGATAAAGAACATACACCTGTGTCTCTCCTGTTCTTAAGTCTTGAACAGCAAATATGAGTTCTACTTCTATTCAAACTCAGAGAGAGAGAGAGAGAGAGAGAGAGAGAGAGAAGTGACAATTATGAATAATAGTTAGTTTGGATTACATAAATATGAAAGAAAATTAGGAGCATCTGCATACTAATCATTCTTGTTAAAGTCAGTTTGCATGTCTTTTCTGCAATGGGGAAAAGCATGAGCCAATTAGGATCATCCAAGTGGCAAGTGCACAGTGGTTTGCTTCTTTTCAAATGTGAGGGACCCACAAGTAGATGGGAGAAGAAAGCGGGGTCCTATTAAACCTTGATTACGTTACCACATGGAGTCATTGAGGATAACTACTTTGCCTGCCCAAAATTTATTTGGAATAGCCAAAAGCAAGCAAAAAAGGTTGATTAAACATTTAAGTAGTGGATCAAACTTTCTTTTGATCCAACTACTTGACCCCTCTTTTATTTATATTTATTTATTAAGAGACCACAGCGTTTTATTTATTGTAGAGACAGGATATTGAAAAATCCACCTGCAAAAATAAATAACTAGGATGACTTTTGTGATGATTTCTTTTCTATTAAGGCTTTTCAGAAAAAGAACCGAGATTGAAAAAGTTTGATGTCGTTACCTTCTCAAGTATTAGATTTCCATATCGTGTTTTTTTTTTGTATCTTTCTGAGAAGTCATTTGATACGTCAATTTAGGAAAATGTTAAATTTGTACTACTGAGAGAATATGGCAACCTAAACTATTCAAGAATTTTGGAGCCATATATGGTGGTTGAGGACTCCTCAATGCCTTGATATTTGATGCAAATTGTTAAGATTATCCACTCATTTGATGATTCTTGAGGTCATTATGGACTCAGCATTTTCAATTTTTATTATGTTTTCACACCTTTCCACATGCATCCTAATTTGGATTAGTCAACACTAGAATTTAGAGGTGCCAATCAATTTGCAATTATGCTGATTGATGTTAATTCTGCGCCATACGAATCGAATCATCTTAATAGATCTAATTAAATTATCATTGAATTCCTTTTTTACTATGGTGCTTTATTCATGTCTAATATTGGTTTTGCTTTACGTTTTTCGGTTAATAAGGAACCATTTCAGAGATCAATATCCACTCTTGAGAAATAAAAATGTATCAAAAGCTTAGCAATAATGGATCCAAATACCACAAAGCTTAGCAATATGTGCCACCAAAGCGACCAAGTTGAGAATACAAAGGAAATGATTTAAGAAGATATGTGCCACCAAAGCGACCAAGTTGAGAATACAAAGGAAATGATTTAAAGGAACTCGGCCTCGATTTGATGGAGTATTGCGTCTGAAAGCACGAGACACGACATAGGCAGCTGGCTCTACACGATCCTCTCCAACTCTCTTGCATAGCTGAGTGTCTGGTTGATGAGCTGCAGGGAAGGAATCTCCTTGCAAGGTGAAGATTCTTTTGCCTTCTGGAATACCACTAAACCATCCTTTACGTCCCACTCGATGTGCTCCTGCATTCATAAAGAAATTCTAAGATCTGTAACCTAAAAGAGAAAAATGAAAAAATGACAGCAGCAATAATCTTTACCTCTTCGATATACTTTAGAAGTTCTTGGTCAGATGTGAACAGCAACATTTGACGTGCATCATTGATTGAAAGATAATCATATGCCTTCTCGCTGCATCCAGCTATCTCATCTCTAGGACGCAAAACAGAAATCAATTACAAATGTTGAAACTACACAAGGGTTTCCAAATTGAACTGCGGCTTTTTCAATGGTTAAGTTTGTATGTACGAATACACGAATACCAGAAATACTAGGAATCATCGGTCCATTTTTATATACAAAACTAAATTGAAACTACACAAGGGTTTCCAAATTGAACTGCGGCTTTTTCAATGGTTAAGTTTATATGTACGAATACACAAATACCAGAAATACTAGGAATCATCGGTCCATTTTTATATACAAAACTAACAATTTACATGTAATAATAATCATACCACATGCAATTTGATTTTGGGGCTCTTCTTAAAAGGAAGAAAAACAAGCTGCTGAAATATGCATGGATTCACAGGAAGACAGTTCAATTTATTGCCGCCATACACTAAGGAATACCATACCTAACTGTCTTCGCCAGGAGATCCATGAAATAGACGTAAGTCTCATGAGGTACTGTCTGCCGAGCACTCAATACACGGTTATAAGCACCCTCCATGAAGGATTGCTCCAACTCCACAGCATGTTTGATGCATGGGTTCTCCAAAGCAATAGATGAGAGCAATTCCAATTCAGTATGAAACTCGGCAATTCTATTCTGCACAAGGAGTCTCAACAGGTTGAGTCCTAAGATTGGGTACTCCTCGGGGGATGGTGGAATCCGGTCACTGCCCCACAACAAAATTAATTGAATTAGTTTAGTTGCCGGCTAAATATTTAGCAAAGAGAAGTACAAAGACAGCGAAGGGGAGGATCTTAGGAACATATATCAACAACCATTAAACTCCAACCCCACCCCCGATCAACCAAAAAAAAAAGGCAGAAAAATCAGTAGATCTAAAAAAGTTTTAAACCAAATGAGTAAAATAATCTAGAGTTATGGAGCTTATTATAACACTCCCCCTTCCCCCCCCCCAAAAAAAACTACATAAAAATAAAAATAAAAAAGGAGAGAGAAGCTACAAGGCACCATAGTAAAATGATTATAAGGATAAAACTTGATAATGCACTTTTATAGCCTAAAAATGCACATTTCTGCTTTGATGCCCCTAGCATGGATGCCCAACTCTACTTTCCAAAATTAAAAATGGAATCCAGGCATGTGTTAAATTAAGTAATAGAAAAAATACCGAGCATCTGTATAATAAGGCTTCAATTGGAAGAAATCTCTCTCAAACGCATCTTGATCCTCAACTTTCACACTCAGAACAACAGCATGCTCGTAAATGTCCCCTGAAAGTTTTAAACGAGATATTGATCATTGCAAAAAGATCAAAATACTAAAATAATAACAGCTCACAATAACACAATCTTTGATAGCAGACAGTGGGGCATCCTCAACGAACTCGGAAAATCATATAATTTTCTGGCAGACTTTGATTCCTCAATCACTATCCTATGCATTAAACATCCAAACACTTTCAAGGTTCTATCTAGATATTATTATGAACAAATCATCATTTTAGCTCCATGTCCAATTTGTCCCATTAATTTTTCCGTATGTGAAAAGAGGGAATAGTCTCTGTTAAAGTCAATCCTTTCACAGCATGTTGAAGTAACTCATTTACAGTACTATTTCAGCATGATTTTAATCCAAAGATTCAAACGAAAATATGACTAAAAATGACATGGAGAGGAATGATCAGATTGAATCGCCAACCCACCAACGAGTATAAAGACTAGCATTTTATATGATTTTGATGTATATTAAAACTATCTACTATTTGCCACAAGAATAACAAGATTCATATTTCTTACTGTACCATGCACTCATTTCAAGAACCATTGCAAACTCTAAAGACTGAAAGCAATACATTTGACGGGAAAGCACCCTCCTTCAGAAATTATAGAATGGGAACTATTATAAATTAGTATGACCCTAAAAAATGGAAAAAGGAAACAACGGCAAAAGGAGGCAACAGAATTGAGTTGGGAATTTTACTTGCTATTGTCAGTTCATGAACTGCGTTCGGCGTTTCTTCAAACAAAGGAGGAAGGCTTCTGAATGCTGTCAGCAAGACCTGCAAAGTTATCAGCCAACGTAACTCAAACCGTGAAAGCAAAACGAAAAATCCATCTAAAAAAACACAAACTTTTTTTTTTATTTTTTAAAAAGACTTGAATTCCCCTCAAATGGTCCGAGCTAAATGCGAATCAAATCATAACCCTGGAGCGTTCCAAGATACCAAAATTCAAAACTGATGTCAACCACTTCTCTATCTACATCACCATTGCAAGATAATACCATAAAGAAGTAATTTTTTTTAAACCAAATCTACTCAAAAGCCAACAAATGAACCAAATTCACAATCCAAAACAAGTGAAAAGCAACCCTAATTGCGTCGCAAATTCCAACATGCTACTACACAATTTGCAGATAAAATTTCTATACATCATTTCATGAACCTGAAATATGGCAAAATGATAAGTATATTACATCGCTATATGATTAAAATTTCGAAGAACCAAATCTCTGAAGAGGCAACGAAACTTCCCTAATTCCTCCTTTTCTAAAACCCGTCAATTTTGGGGACGAAATTGGAAGAACCGTTACTATACAACAATAAGCAATCCACTAAAAACGAAAACTTTGAAGCGCAGAAACTAGGGTTTCCGGAAAAGGTACCTTGAGCTGAGAAAGAAGATTGGTACAGGTATTGAAATCCTTGCGTAAAATCGCGGCTTTGAAGCGCTCAAAGAGCTGCGAAACCTCTGTGAGCTTTGGATCCATGGCTGACTTCCTCTGCAGTGTCCGATCTCTCGCTGTTTGATGTCGTTTGATTTTGGCTGAAAAGAAGTGAAGTTCTTTTGCTTGTCTTTCAAGAAGGAATTTGCCTTTTTCTAGGGTTTGAATCCGGTGGCAAAATCCGACCCGGAAACCAACAGATGGTTTGCCAGAAAGATTTAACGACGTGTATTTATTCGGGGAGAAAACGTACGACATGCGGTTTAGACCATATACAAAGACGTGCCGTTCAACGAGATAAACGACATGTTTGAGAGGCATTTTGTTTTTGTCTTCCCGCAAAAGAAATAAAAAACGGCATGTCGTATGTTGTTAACAAGGGCAAACGGGCCAACGGCCAATGAGTGCTTCTTATTTGTTTAGCAAGTACTTTTTTTTTATAGAAAATTGTAGAATTTACTCTTCAAGAGTGAGTCTAAATTTTACCGATTATTTTTTATTAATACTCTTTTATTAGTATAATTATTTAACTAAAAACCTCATTCTTAATTAATACTCTTTTATTAGTATAATTATTTAACTAAAAACCTCATTCTTGATTAATACTCTTTTATTAGTATAATTCTTTAACTAAAAAGATTATTGATTAAGAGTAAATAGTAAAAATTCTTATCCATGCACTTTAAAAAGTATTTGTCTCTTCACTCCCTCCCCAACTCTATTTTTTTTTTACTTCGAAAAATGGGATTAATTTTCTATTATTGACCTTTTAATCATAATTTCCTTTTCAATAGAATAGGTCAATTTAAATAAATTGAAAAAAAAAACTGAACATATAAGTGATATATATATATATATACAATATATATATATATATATATTGTTTGATAAGCCTTTGGCATTCCCAAATTTTGAACCTGGAACCTTCTATCCTAAACCCTCCCTAGCCCCAAATGAGTAATGTATAGGTTGATATTAATTTGGTCAATTCTAGAAAAATTTGCCTATTTCATCTTTAATTAAGAAAATCATGCCTCGTTTTGTTTTGTCAAAAAACTCATATGAGAGAAACGACAAATTATATAAATCGACATGAATGTCGTTTTGTTTAGCATGTCCTCACCCCAGTTGCTCTCACAGTCTCACTAGAAAACCACTCGGTCTTCTATAACGGCGTCATGATGTTGGTAAAATATAACGCAATGTGACCCTTCAATATCAGGACTAGTGCTGGAACTTTGGACGGGCCGCCCAAAAAACCCGAGGATTTGCCCGAGCCCGAACCCGACCCGCCCAAGATTTTTGGGCCGCCCGCTCGAGCCCGAATTTCACCTTGAACGGGTCGCGGGTTTGTATTTGGCGGCCCGAGCCCGCCCGAATTGCCCGAATTTTTTAAATATTTTTTTAATATTAAGTTATTTATATATATATATTAGTATTACAATTTATATATATTATATTTATATATATATTAAATTTGAAATGAACACACGAACTATATAAAAAAATTATTTCTTTATTAATTTTTAAATTTGTAATTCATGATTGCCTCATTAAAAA